TTCAAATGCATGTTTACTTCCCTTCCTAAGGAGAAGCAAAGCTCTGTTAGTCTTTGCAAGGTAGCTTGTGATCCCTTTATGAAAGGTGTGTCCCATGCATCACTAACCCCATAGGAAATAAAGCCAAAATGCACCTCAAGAAGTCAGTATTTGTGTTTCCTCTTTTATAATATGTTAATTTTTTAGGGGTGTTTCTGCAAATTTGTTGAGAAAAGCACTACAGGTACTGAATTATCTAGACAATGATCTTTTACTTTTTTCCTCAACAAATTACTTTCCTTGTTGATTGTAAAAATGCTTATGCACTATTTCTGATGGCAAAGAAACCCACTTAGAGCCTTGACTGCTTGTTCCCACAGAAGACTGTTGGACATTGATAGGAAAACCATATTTTTTTTGCCCACATGGTGTCCTGTGCAACTTTCATGTACTTCAGATAAAGCAAGGGGAGCCCAGAACATATTTGGTGGTAGCAAGGGTGTGCGTGGGGGTGCTTCTCAGGATCTCTTCCCAAACAGTCTTGCTGCAGCACCCCAGTTGCAAGAGCCAACAGTGGACGTTCTTTAAATCCTTTCTCAAGGCCTTTCTGAATTTTTTTTGTAAAAGCAAACTTCAAATGGAACCCAATTCAGCACTGGGGAGGGAGGGGGGGTGATGGGTGTCTGATTTCTTTTCTTTTTCCATAATTTTATTTTATTTTATACATAATCACATATGTAAGCTGAAGTATTTGGAATAGAAAAAGCTTACTCGACCCTTCCTAATTTTCTTTTTTGGGCAGCTCAAAAAGAGGTTCTTCTGTGAGTGGTGTCAAAACGGTTCCTCTGCTTGCTGTACAAACCCATATGTGCAGTCTGTGTTTCTCTTGAAGCACGGTTTTATCTGTGGAGATAATCAAAAGCCTGCATCATCCTCAAAAAATGCCTGTTTCTGATGCCTCCCACCCTGATTCCTGGGATTTTCGGCAAAGGGACATCCCCTTTAAACCTGTGCTTCTGCCTCATATCTTTTCTCTTTGAAGCCAGAGGGTTGGCTGGCCTTTGAATAGATGAGGATGAGAATACAGCAGTGGGAGGTCTGTGTCTTGCTCATAAACCTTGGCCAGAAAATCAGCTCCGACAAGTGGGGACAGGTAGCAGCGTCTTTCCTCTTATCAAATGGCACAGTGGAGCAGACACATTCCTGCAGGATCTGCAGCGGGGTGGAAGGTGGGGCCTCCTGACTGTGCCTCGCCTCTCTGCCGCCGTGCTTCACCCTGGGAGCTGCGTGCCTCCAACTTGTTGTAGAACTGTGTTATTTCTAAAGAAAACACCCTGTTTTCTCATTGTCCCTTCCCCTTGGGTGCTGGTTTTGATGTGTTCTTCAGTTTCTCTTCCTTCAGCAGGAACCAGAGGAAGTGTTTATCCGTGGTTCCAGTGCTTGGGACTTCTGGGGGATGCCTTGTTGTGCCTTTGTGCCTCAGTGTATTGTACTACATGGTTTAGTGTGGCCGGACTTTTTCCTGAGGGACAGCTTTCCCCAGGCCTCCTGCTAAAACCTTCCTCCCTCTTGTGTAAAACAATCATCATTAATGCTAATTGGGCAGCTTTGGGGTTAAATCTGCAAAGATTGCTTGGGTTTGGTAAATCCTCTGCCACTGCAAAGCAGATAATGTTAAACAAAAGATCGTCTTGATTAGATTAAAGTTGGCAAATTCATTGCCCTAATCATCATATTACCCTTCCTGTGGCTATTCAGGAATACATCACCGTAACTTACTTGAAGTAATTGAATATAATTGTCTTTTTAACTCCTATGTGTAAAACATCCATCTTTGTTAACGGCATGTGTTCCTGTCCTGCTGCCAGCTCTCAGCCCTCTTCTGGAGGGGTGGGAACAAGAAGCAGAGCCAGGCTGACGTTTATGAATTGGTAGTTGATTGCCTATAAAACCATTCATTATTTCTGACCAAGCACCTGGAAGAGAATAAAAAGGAACAGCACCAGCCACTGGATCCTGTAGGCTTGGCTGATGCTCCCAGGCAGGGAAGCAGAAGGGAAGTTGTGAACTGGAACATTGCAAAGGGACGTCACAAAAAACAACCCTTCCCCTCATCATTAGTGACAGCCGAGCACAGGGCACATGGTGGGGTTGGAAATGGGAGTGTGAAACAGATGCCCAAGGCAGAGGTATTACTGCCCCTCCCATGGACCAAGTAGGTTGAAATGCTAAAAACAAACCCGCAGTGTCAGTGGGAGGGAGAAAGTTCATGGAAATTTTTCTCCCATTAATAAGCAGAGGTGTGAGGGGGAGATGTCATTTTTATATCAATAGATAGCTAGGAAAGGAGGCCAGGCAGCAAACAGTCTGTGTTTTTTATTTCCCAGCTTTCCTGGGTGACAGGGAAAGACTCTTTTAGCACAAAAATTTCCAATATTATCTCAGCAATCAATCATGTACAAATGCACAGTTACAAAGTAAAACATAACTGGCCTGGCTTTTAAGATATTCAGTTTGACCTGGTTTTAGTAGTTTAATCATTATTAATAAATTAAACTGCTCTAGGGAATGGGCCATAGGATTAGGATATGATTATCTGTATCATTAAAACTCAACTACAATGGCAAATACAGTTTCAGCCCATGTCAGTTCACAATTTCCTGCATTTTGGGGGTTAACTCAGCCCTGGACCTGTCCATTACTGGCAGAGTGACCACCTTGTTTTGGGAGGTTGGTAAACTTCACCTATAGGGGTGCCATGAGCAGGGCTGTGAGTTGATCCCAGGACCACAGAAGTGATGCTGCTCCTTTGGGTTTATTTGTATGGCATAAATATGGGGGTGAGCACTGCAGGAAGCCCAGCCTAGGGCCTCAGGCTGGAAGAGATGTTGTCTGCCATTGGATGTCTGTGCAGGGCCAGTTGATTTTGTGACCATGCTTTGTATGTGACAGTGTAAAAGCTCCTGGGGACAGCAGTGTCCCCAGGGAGGAGGCCAGTAGCTTTAGGTTGTCTGCCGACCTGGGCAGCAGTTTCAGCTGAGCATGATTCGGGGAGACCAGAGGCTTTACTGTGCTGCAGGAGCAGGGCATGGTGTGTGACAGCTCAAATGTGGTGTATTTTTGACCTGGAGAAACACTAGTTACCTCTTAAAATGAAGACTCCTTACAAGTGTCCTTATGTAACAGATCATCCCTACTCAGAATGGTTAAAGGGTGAATCTTCCTCCTGCCAAAGCAAATCCTAAAGGATGCGAGTTCATTCTTTCCCTGAGCTGCTTTTGGAAGAGGAGGGGAGGGGAGCAGAAGTGGGGGAGGTGGTTAACAGTTACTCTACTGTGTCCTGACATTAGGCGAGCTGCAAAAATGCTCCCAGTGTATCAGGTAGTGTGAAGTGCCAGCCCTTTGCTGGAGCACAGAGAGCAAGTCTGCTGCAGAGCCTTAAATACTTTCCATCCCGACTACCTTCGCTTAACGCCTTTCAGCAGAGTTGGCAGGAAGGTTGTTTTTGTGTAGTCTCTCACCTCTCCCGGCAGCCTGGCTGACGGCGCCTGTGCTGTACTGTGCTCAGGGATTGTACGTTGCAATGGGAGTAGGAGCCTCAGATCCTCTGGCTGATATGCTGGGAAAGGCGTATATGAGGATTACCCGCAGGCTTTGCGCGACGGACCCAAGAGGAGCACATCCCCACCGGACGGAGTCAGAGTAGCTCTGTTGCAGCTGGAGTCACAGATGCAAAAGGCTGACTTTTAAGTCTTTCATAGAAAAAGAGTTTGGCGCTTACTGGAGTTTGCTGAGCATCAGCGAGAGATTTGGCCCAAGCCTTGACACTTTGGTTTTGGATGGTGCTTTCCCACTCTACAGAGAGATGGTACCTGTCGCGGAGGCAAGTCACAGTGAAATATGGAGCACAGACTGGGTTTTGAAATGCTCACTTAGGAGGTTGGTTTTGTTTTGCTTTTAGTCTCCAGTTAGACAGAAAGGCCAAGAAACCAGAGAAGGAATGGGAAAACCTGCAACGATATTAAGTTATGTTTAGCGAAGAACTTCTGTGTTTGTAAAGGCAGAGCAAGACCAGCATTTTATCTTTAAGCCAATCGCCGCCACAAATCTAGAAAGGGGCATCTTTACAGATGCGCTGAGCCCTATCAGAGGGTGATTGTACGGTATCGCTATTGCGGTCGTATGGTATTGCTGTCGAGGCTCTGCTAATTGTATTTCTTTAGCTTCTGTAATTTTAGCAGGAAGGGCCCAGGCAGCCAGGCAGTGTTGTTGGGGGTGGCGAGGAGAAATAACCTGATGAATTTTCCATCAGCTCAACTCACTCAAATATTCTCGCTGTTAACTTTTGGGGTCAATAATAAATATTAAAACCTGTAGATTTAATAAGTCAATGTAGGTGTTCGGTGCCTTTTGAGACCACTTTATCTTTCCATCAAAGATGAAACAAGCTTCTCAAATGAATAAAAAATAGGGCCTCAAGTGATTACAAGTGAGAGCAATTTGGGCTTCTCTCTCAGAACCTGGCAGTAGGCGCTTTTGAGCCTCTTTTGACTGCCTAGACGTTCTGCATTAGCACTGCTCTTGCTGTTATATTTTTAGGTAAATATTTTCAACTTGTGTGTACAGACCTTCAGGAACAGTGTTTGCTGCCACTCCAGGCTTGAGGGACGATGCAGGTCTGGATCCCACCAGGCTCTGTTGAGTCTGATTTGCGTTGCAAGTCTAGTTTTCCTTGGTGCTTGCTATAATCTCCTCAAGTTCAAAGAGCGCTTAGCTGCTTGTCTTTGTCAAAAACCCTGTTGGAGATCTTTTATGTCGAAGATGTAGGATTTCTCCGCATGACTTTGATTATTTATTCATTCCACTTCTCTGGTGTATGATAGCGCTGATATCATGAAGACCCCTTGTCTTGCACTGCTCTTGCTCTGAAATTCATGGAGATTTAGTGCCTTTGAAATTGTTTTAAAAGGGAAGGAAAAGTTTTTGAAGTCCCTTTTTTTTTCTTCTATTCCCCATAACAGTGCCGCAGCACATTTTTCCGGCCTTCCACGCTCCTTTGCCAATTGACATGCGCCACCAGGAAGGACGATACCATTACGAACCTCACTCTATCCACGCTATCCACGGGTAAGTCTTGCACCTCCACTTCCATGCTTTGCTAAAGTGTCAGCCACATGCAGTATGCAGAATCCCACTGCTAAAGTCCCAGGGACTTACTGTTCTTCTGGCAAGCTGACCGTACTGGCCACCCTCCACCTCATTGTCCCCATCCAGTGACAATACTGACCTCCCTGGCAGGAATGCTTTACAGCTCTGTTAAGCCTATAGAAGTGCCCTATAGCAGCAGGATGGGAGTACAGGGCTTCTTTGTTGTTATCCAGCTCAGGTCCCAGGAACAGGCTTGTGTTTTTGCACCCGCCGTGTTTCTCACATCATACCTTGCCTGGGTCATTTCTGTCACCATCTTGGCAAAGACCCAAGCACTGGTCCCTCCCTTTGGAGACCTTGTGTACCATTCCTCCCTGCCTGCCAGCTCTGAGGACAGTGGCAAAAGGCTGCCAGGAATGCCATAGTTCAGTTTGATTTCACTGGACAACGTCCCGAATGGGCTGGGCAGTGTTTTCTAAAATGTGGTAAGAAGCCAGGTTCTCATGTGGGTGTCCACTCCGGAGGGGCAGGACTCTGGGTTTTGGTGGTGGCCTTCTCATGAAAGTCTCGCCTCCCCAGGGCACCTGATGGGCAGCGAGCACAGGTGCCGGTCAGGACCTGTACCCTGAGAGGGTGATTCATGGTTAATCTCCTCATCCAGGACATGACAGGTCAATAGTCCTTGATGTCTTGAAGGAGATGTTTATAGAGAGATCTGGGTTCACCGCCTGTAAGCTTTGAAGAGGGCAAGGAAAATGGAGCCAGCAGAGATGTGAGCAGACGTTGTAATGACCATGTGGCTGGAAGGGTTTCGTCTTGTCTCTGAAGACAAGATGGGAGATGAGGAGCAGTGTAATGGGGTTGGTGGTCCCACAGCCATCCCAAAATCCTTCAACCCGCAGCTGTAATGGAGTGCCCAGACATCTGGTGAGGGACAGGTCCCAGAGCACTTGGCGTAGGGGAACCAGTAAGGACTGGAAACCTTTTGTAAGTAGAGCAAGGGAAGAACAACTAGGACTCATCACTTACAAAACTCTCCTTTGGTCCTCTGGAGTCCTATTGTGGCTTCACTGTCTGGCCAGTGCTCATCCAGCTTTGCTGCGGCTACTTGTACTTTTTCTGGATGGGTGTGAGCAGGGGAACAGTCCCTCAGCGGCAAGTAATGCAGACAGCAGCAGCCAGGAGATCTGTGGAGTCCCACAGCTACCAGGGCTTTATTCCGCTTCCAAAATACTGCAGGAAATAAATGATAGGGCACTCCCCCGGATCCTAGCGGAAGACAAGTCATTGTCTTTTTGGCTGTCAGTCAGTTTGACTGGATGTTTGAAGGGGCAGAGCAGCTCCTTACATACAGAGTGCAAAAGAGAAATGACAAAGCAGGTTGGTAACATGGGAATTGGGGGGGGGATAAGAGAGATGAATGAAATAGTTCTGATCTTGCTTGCAAGTACATGCAAAAATTGTAGAAAAAGAATAATAAAACAACGTAATAGGAGATAGTTAATAAAGCAGAACTCTGGCTAATAAAGCACGTACTGACTTCTGAAAGGGGTAGTATTAAAATCAGTGGTTAGAAGAGAGGGTAGCAGATGTTCTGATGTTTGTCACATGTTATTTGTGTGCTCAGTGCTCCCCTTCACTCCTCATGAGAAGCATTGGATGCACTTTATCTATGCTGGGGCTCCACAGCAGTTTTTTTCTCCAAAATGCAACTAAGAGCTTGCCAGCTGATGCTATGTACCTGTGAATCATATTCCCAGTAAGGGGAGCCAGTATTTTATTTTATTTTTTCGAAGTTTTCCAGCTCTCAACCCTGGCCAATGTATAGCACTGGCAGATCAGGCTTTAGTTCATCTGCACCAATATTAATAATCTGTTGTGTTAGCAGTGATCACATTTGTCTATCAGTGGACCAAGTATCCTGCTTAGTATTTGGGTACAGTTGTTGGCAAATAACTATTTGCAAACAACTATTGCCTTTCTTCTTTGTGATTCCTCACCTTCCCAGCAGCTCCTCTCACAAAACCAACTTGCAGGGTACTGGAGAGAAAACTTGGTTGTGCGTCTTAGAAGAGGAAACATAATCTTCTTTGCAACTACCTGGGCACTGCCCTGAAAGGTGCCTTTGTGGCTGGTGAAGCACCAAAGCTGAGCAGCCAAGTACTTCTTGGCTGCGGTTGTTTTTTAGGGTCAAGGGAACGCCACTTCTGTTTGGCTATTTTCCAAATGCCCTGTGCTATGGCACAACCACATTGGGAAAATTCTCAGCAGCTGTGGAGTTAGTCTCTCAATCATTTTTCCTCTTTAAATTTTACCTGCAACTATCTTAACCTCATGTCCTGCCCTTTACTGCTCTAGTGTTTATTCTTCTTTTCTTTTGTCTTTCTTCTCTCTCGTCCAGTCTCTGGAGGTCATAACATAGCACTCACCCTCCTTGCTGGAGGATCTCCAATGTGAAATCATCCAGAACATGATGGTAGAGCTGGGCTAGAACATACTTAGTGGTTGCGTGGCTCATATTCGGTAGAGTGGGTGGACTTTGCGGAGACAGTTGAGCCTCCAGAAATTGTACTCCATCTGATGGTGCAGAAATCAATCCTTCTTGTTTTAAAAGCAGACAACACGTAAAAAAAAAGAAAAAAGAGCACATACATATTTTCACTCTAGAAAATTGTGGCAAATGTTTGGAAGAAAAATTGTGTCACTGCGTTTTGGCTTTATGATTAATGTGATCGGTGCCTGACAGAGAGTCCCCAATTCATCAAGTCCATATTCTAGCCGTCTGCTGTCTTGACGGTACCAAATTTATCTAATTATGTGAACATTGCACAGCAAATTAAGTGCAGTCTCATTTGTTGCTAACTATGGGGTCTTATTATCTGCCTGCTGCATTATGTCAAAGGTTTGCTTCCTGATTGCTCGATGTGACATGTCAGTGCATTCCCCTTCATCACTGTTTGCATTTGGCCTAATGAGAACATACATTATTTTTCTTAACTGGAGGGAACTCCAGTTGCAAGGCTCTCTTGAGCAGGACCACCTGTGGGACCCTTTTCTTGGGAACGTAGATAGGAATGTGGAAAACTCAAGTAATAAAAGACCCGTGGGCCAAGATGGGCCTGAAAGACTTGCTGCATTTCTCTTCAGTGTTGTCATTCCTTCTGTCTCAGTGATATCGCTGTTAAGTAGCATGACAAATAATTTTCGGGACTTGAGTCTTCTTCCAAATCACTGAGGATTTATTATGTACATCCAGAAGCAGATTTTGTTGGTGTTTCCTTGAAGTATACTTTTTTGATTTTTTTCAGGGTGTTGTTCCAGTGTTTCTGCAGTCCTTAGGACAACCTACTTTTCTGTACAACTTTTCTGTTGTTTTTACTTATTTGGTGGTGCATTTTTGGACATCTTTCATTTTTGGACTTTTTTTTGGCATCAGTAATAGTTTGACAGAATCATGGTGCTTGCTTGGCTTGTCTAGAAAAATAAAGTACCTCATTCAAATGATCCTTGAGCTCTCCGCAGTCTCTGTAGAAGAGCAGTGGTGGGTGTTACATTTGTTTTCTGCGTGCAGCTTTCATTGATTTGTCAGAATTTCACTCTTTACCACTGGTTGTAGGTAGAACATAGGTCAGCGCTGTTGGAGGGAAAGTCATCAGCCAGGGTGTGTCTGCAGGTCCAAAGCTGAACCAGAGAAATTCACTTTATAAGATTGAACAGGTTCTTTTAAAACAAAAAGGATACTTTGTATTTTAGTGAACTTCTTCAGAAAAACCCTATTCCACTGGGGCCTGGTCTCTGCAATAACTCCCATCTACTTTAAACTAAGGGGACTCAGTGTCAGCTTTGCAAGACCAAGCCCTTGACTCCAGAGGAAAGCTGCTGGCAGATATCAGAGGTGATTACTGATAGCTCCCCTGCACTCCCCACTATTTGGTGTGCTCAGCTACACTAACTTTTTTTTTTAAAGCACAACAAAAATAGCTAAAAACTACTTAGCTCAGCTTAAAAGTCCCTGCCAATGCAAGAGCCTTCGGGGCTAACCCTTGTAAACAGCGTGCCTAGGCTTGACTCAGCAAGCAGCTTTTTAACAGTAGCTCCTAAACTGTGGTTAAAACCCATCAGGCATTACGCAGTGTAACAAACAAAAGCAACCTTGTTTTTCTACCAACATCCTGGTTTTAGGATGCAGTTCTGACATTATTTATTAACAAAATATTGTTCTTGCTCTTCTGTCCACAAATAAAAATAGTAAAAAAAACCCCATAGCTGATAATCACAAATTCCATGGCTTTCATGAGGACTGAATTGTCCCAAAGACCTAAACATAGAGAAGATTCCATCTCCGTGATAACGTGGAGTTGCCCTTAATTTCCCTCTGGTAGGGATTTTATCTCATTTAATCAGGGATCTTCTTCCATTTCCCTGAGATCTTATTATATTACAGATTTTCCCTGATATCCAGCCTACACTTTTTTTCTTTATCTGATCCTATTACCCCTCCTTGTTGAAGTTTGTTTTGTTTTTACTGTGTTAAAAATTACAGAATACCTTTTCAGGACCAGTTCCAATGCTCCTGAGCTGTTTAGGCAGAGTAATTCACAGGCAGGCAAGGTGACTGTTGAACTTTTCATCATAACAAGACCATGTCTCAAGTGTTTACAAATTTGCCAAATTTAATGTCGAGCCCAAGATTTTCCATGTTGAATATCTGTTTCAGGCTGGTTTTCTCTTTCCTTTGTTGTTTTTTGTGAGATTCAGCCAAGGGAGGCCAAGTGAGGTTAAGGGAAAATATGTTGTTTAGCCATACAAAAAATAATCATCATCATCTTATAACTGCTTTTAGAAACACTAGTGTCTCTTACTTTAGAGTTGGAATTTGTTATTGTCACAGATGTGCCTTTTGCTGTTCCCATTCTACAAAAACACACACAAACCCCCATCAATTTTGCCGGATAGAAATCCTTTGAAAAATCTCCCTT